CCAAAAATAAAAGTTGAGGGACTGAATCGGGGATATAACCTATCTTTTAGTCTTTAAGTTACATGAGAGATGCAAAAATTAATATTAATTTTAGTGTCAATATCACTTGAATAATTTTAATTAGGTAATTAATTAATAAATTAAATATTAACTTTTATTTTTTATACTATAGTAATTAATTACCTAAAAATATATATAAGTATAATGCCCATAAGCCATATCCTGGAAAAACCCATACTTAGATATGATCGAAGGGCCTATTTGGTTAGAGCAAGAACGTTTTTTTTTTTTTTTTTTGGCAGATTGTGTTTCTGGTTAGAATGTTTTGTTGGGCAGATTAGGTTGCTGGGTAGATTATTTGTGTCAGATTTCTGTGTTTGGTTACTTATGAGAAATTTTCCTTTTAGCAATTGTAATCAACTATATTGAAAAATATAGTTAGTTATATATCTCTTTTACTTTAGGTTATTATTATAAAGTGAAATATAATTTGTTATCAAGGAAAATATATTAACTTTCAAAGTGAAAATATAGTCTACTACAAAACTAAATTAACTACTTATAAAGGAAAATAAAATCAAGGGTCTATGGGCACAATATAAGAAATAATAATTGTATAATTATTATTACTTTTTATCTTGAAAATAACAAAGTTAATTTTTATTTTAATTACAAATATGACGTGTTAATTTTTTATTCATTCATTTTGAAATTGAAATCATAATTTATTTTTTAATTTAAATTTTCACATTTTTTAAGAAAAAAATGATAATTATTAATTAATAATTACTCCTTATTCTATGTCTTAAGTATACAGGATAAACAAACCCTAAAATCAATTACAAACTGAGATATAGAGTCCATTTGGTATAGCAGTTTACAAATAGCAGTTAGTAGTTTTATTCAAACCACTAAAAATAAGTATTTGGTAAATTTATTTATTTTAAAATCATTATAAATTAAGTATTGGATAAAACTTTTTATTTAGTAATTTGGTACTAGCGGAAAGCAAATAGTGTTTAAATCGTTAATGGATTAAAAAAGCTATTTAAGATAGTTTTTTGTAT